GTAAATATAGCAAGTGTGGAAAAGTGGTGGTAGGAGTTGTGAAATTGCCCCTAAGCAATTGACTACTTTACTAGACCGATAGCAAGTATTATGTGGGAGAGGCCACTGCTAGCATGCCATCCCTGACTTGGAATTCTATGCACTCATGATTGGAACTATTAGCAAGCATCCGCAACTACTAATGTTCATTAAGGTAAAACCCAACCATAGCATTAAGGTATATTGGTCCCCCTTTAATCCCGTATGCATCAATTTCTATGCTAGGTTGAAGCTTCTGTCACTCTTGCCCTCCAATACATAGTCCTATCAACATACAACTAACCCTAGGGTGTGATCCACGAGCGCAATCATATGATGGGCACCAAAGGACAGCAACATAACCACAAGCAAATTAAATCAATCATAGCAATTCATCAACCACCGATAGGACAACGAAAATCTACTCAGACATCATAGGATGGCAACACATCATTGGAGAATAATATGAAGCATAAAGCACCATGTTCAAATAGAGGGTACAGCGGGTTGCGGGAGAGTGGACCGCTGTAGATAGAGGGGGGAAAGTGATGGAGATGTTGGTGAAGATGGCGGAGGTGTTGGTGTAGATCGCGGTTATGATGATGATGGCCACGGCAATGTTCTGGCGCCATCGGAAGAGAAGGGGCGAGGGGGGCCCTTCGTCTTCTTCTTCCTTGACCTCCTCCCTAGATGGGAGAAGAGTTTCCCATTTGGTCCTTGGCCTCCATGGCATGGGAGGGGCGAGATCCCCTCCGAGATTGGATCTGTTTCTCTGTCTCTCTCTGTTTCTGCATTCTCAAATTCTTCCCTTTCACCGTTTCTTATATTTTCGGAGATCCGTAACTCCGATTGGGCTGAAATTTTAACACGATCTCTATCCAGATATTAGCTTTCTTGCGGCAAAAGAAGGGCATCAACTGCCTTTCGGGTGGCCCACGAGGGTCAGGGGCGCGCCCAGGGGGCAGGCGCGCCCCCTGCCTCATGGCCACCTCGGGCACCGTCTCGCGTGGATTTTTCTTCCCAAAAATAATATATATTCCAAAAAATGTCCGTCAGTTTTTATCCCATTTGGACTCCGTTTGATATGGATATTCTGCGAAACAAAAAACATGCAACAAACAGGAACTGACACTGGGCACTAGATCAATATGTTAGTCCCAAAAATAGTATAAAAAGTTGCCAAAAGTATATGAAAGTTGTAGAATATTGACATGGAACAATAAGAAATTGTAGATACGATGGAGACGTATCAAGGCTCGGCAATGATTGCAGCAATCAGCTTGCTCGATGAACCCCCCACTTCCGCCTCGGGATCCTGAGGGCCACAGCCACTGCCCCCTTCCAGAACCACCTCATCGTTGTCGGCAGCCACCGATGGCACGACCACCTTCTGATTGGCCAACGACAAGTGGATAGAGGGAATCTCCATCACTGCTGGCTCAACCACCACAGCCATCTCGGGTCCCACACCCACTGGAGGCGTCACCCGTGCCAACGGGACAGCTGTCTCTAGCACAGGATCAGCAGCAACCAGCAGCCGTAGGGGCATCGTTGTGGCCTGCGCCTCGGCAGCCATAGGCGGCCACCAAGATCCAATGCGCCATCCGGGGATGCTGGCACCACCAATGCCTGCCTCGAAGCCCGGGGCTCAACGGGGGTGTTGATCCGGTTAGCCGGCGCTCCTGCCATCTGCTTGTTGCCGGAGCCAATCGCCGGCAGCCGCCAGTTGGATTCACCCAACCTGCTCATCAGAACTTGCCTGAAGGATCTGCCTGTAGCTCCAACTACGGTAGCCCCAGCCGCACCACCACGGTCCAAGGCAGCACCTGGCGCTCCCCTCCTCCCGAGAAGCCGTCAGACTCATCCGGCAACCCAGTCTGACCGCTACTGCCGAAGCTCGCCGAACGGCACCAGTTCTCCGGGGCGTTGAAATCCCACATCCTACCAATGTGAATGAGCGTCGAGTAGTCCAAGAATTGGCGAGACGAAGCACGCCGCTGCCGTGCATCTTCCCACTCCGGCTCAGGGATCCACATCCGCTTTTCCACCGGGATATCCTCCGGCTGCGCACACCAGGCACGCACCTTGAACAGTGACAAATCCGATCTGTCCGCTGTCTCCGGCGCCAAGCTGTCAATTTTGCAAGCATTTCCCAGAATCTCTGTAGCCGTATCATGAGACCACACATGCGAAGGGATTCCTTCTATCACGAGATCCACTAGCACCCTCATTGCCTTGGCAGTAGCTTGCGCATGTCGCAACCAAGGTTTAAAGAAAAGCTTGAAGCTTCCATTGTCAACCGGGATGGAGCGGAGGGCGATGTTGCGAAGCTCCGGGGTGGCAAAGACAAACAGGAAATCCTCCGGCTGGAATCGATGAACTGAGAAGCGGTGACGCAGAATCTTCAGCTGCACCGAAATGGCCTCCGCCGCCTCCACACAGGAGATCAACGGCCTCACACCTCCAATGTATGCCACCACTGCCAGACTAAGCCGCCGCTCCATATCATCCATCTTCAGGGAGCGTTGGAGCACACAGATGCCCCCCGAAGAAGCCTGGGTTGGTGGCCATGCTGAGGACAAAGGCTCAGCCGCCGCCGGCGAGGGAGGCACCACAGGTACCTCTTGCCTGGGCGCCGGCGAGGTCTGTCGCACAGCGCCAGCCATCGCCACAAACGGATCCAGGCGGCCCATCTTGGCCAGGACCGACCAGATCAGATCCCTCTACGAGGCTGGGCTCCGAGGACGCTTGCATTGGAACGATTCATAACCTTCCACACCACAGCGGTAACACATGGGGCGGTTTGGGCAATCCTGCTTCTTGTGGTCGTCCCCAAAGCACTTAAAGCAGAGACCTTGCAGCTCGATCAGGAACTCCCTCCGCTCCCACGAAGAGGACGGCGAGGGCGGCGCCCTGCGAGCAGACAGGCCAGCCTCCTGCTGACGTCGCAGAACACGCCGTTGGTGCCACATCGCCTTGCGGGTGGGCCTGGGGCGGCGGAACCCATCCACCGGAGCCTCCGATGGGCCAGCCACCTGCTGGCTCGCCCCTCCAGAGGACGCGGCGCGACTGGATCCAGGGGACCCCGAGAGGCCCAGACCGGAGATCACCGGCTGCGGCCGAGGAAACGCCGAAGAG